GGCCCCGCCGCCGCCGGCGCCGATCAGGCGAGCCCGGCCGAGTCCCCTGGCGGCGGCGAGGGAGGAAGGAGGAGGAGGGGAGACCGGAGGCGGCGGGATCTGGGCGCCCGCCCCGGCCGCCTCGCGGGTGGCGGCGCGGGCGGGAGGGGGGAGGGGGGAGCCCTGTCAGTGTTTATTGACGATGCTGCAGGATGGCCACTCCCCGTATAATGTTTATTAGGAAAGACGAGATAGACTAGAATTTATTCTGACTTGTCTTGTACTCCAAATAGATGATTATACTCCTATATATATGCCCACGAGGCTCAAGCAATACAACGAATTATTTTATCAATCCTCTCTCTTCTTCTAACATCCCTGATCCTGATTGTAGTGATGCAGTCCGAGTGCACTAGCCCCCTTTTGAGTAGTTTCTCTTACTACTTAATTCTCAAAAAAAAAAAATAGACGTAACCTTTCCCTAAAAAAATCTCTTTTCTGGCGATTTCAGCCGAAGCAAGTTTTCAGATCACGGTGCACAATAACGGTTGTAATCGTGGGCTTGTGATTTGCGGTTTATTAATCGGAGGCTGTACTCAAACTCAAGTTCAAACCGCGCTATTATCTTACCGTTGTGAGAGGCTGGTTAGATGTGAGGATCGAGAGACCCGAAAGACACATGCATGACGGGGTAACTACTCCCACCTATAAACGCCCATTAATTAACAACACCATAAGCTAAGCAAACACCAACGGCACAATTTTCTCATTGCACTACTCGATCGACATAGACAGGAATCTTCCCTTCCTCACAACAACCACCTCACGGAGTTGACGCTTGACACCAAGGCAATGCGATGCAATGAAGCACCATGTGCAAATCCATCATTTGCGCCACTGATTTTGGTGCTTATATATACATAAATTCCACGGTGATTAAAGGCTTGACTTTACACCTGTAGTCCTTGTTCAACTGTTTCTTATAGAAACATAGTAAGCCTTAGAGCAACTTCAACGCAGAGATCCAAATGAATATAGATTTTGTCATTTTTATACGTTTGGGCCTCCTGCCTGTCAAGCGGACATGAGGCGGACACGACTGGCACCCAACGCTAGAACGCAAAAACGGACAAAGCGGACAAGAGCTACCCAGACGCCCCATTTTCTCCTTGCCGGCCGGCACCTCCTCCCGCCGCCCCTCCTCTCTCAGCGAGCTACCGTGCCGGGAGCATCTTTCTCCTTCCCCACGGCTCCCACTCGCGCTAGCAGCCCGCAGATCCGCGCTCGCACCCTCCGCGTGCATGCCAGCATTTGGCTCACCGGACCCCCTCGTCATCGGCGCGTCTCCTCCAGCGGCGGCGGTCAGCGCCGCCACCTCCAGCTCCCCATGTGCACTTCCCCTCCTCCTCCCATCACGTGCAGGAACCAGCGCCAGGCCCAGCCGCTCGTCCCACCGCGACAGTGGCGGCACCTGCTCACACCGCTGCTGCTTCTTCCACTTTAGCATCCAAAGAGACAAGGGCAGCCCGATGCTGCTCGCGCTCTGCTCCAGGCTCGCTGTCCACCCGCACCCCCTCGTCCGCACACCCGCCTACGTCGCCAGTTCCTCGATCCTCCTCAAGAACTCCATGTCCCCGATGTCGTCGGGCCACCTCCTGCTGGCGCCAGGCCTCCTCCTCGCACCGTCATGCCCCCCTCAGATCCCCATCACGGCGAGTGCGGGTGGGTGGCGCCGCAGTTCCTCGGCGAGCGCCAAGAGGAGTAGCAGGAAGTGGCGGTGGGCAGCGAGAGCGGCGGCGGAGATCTCCCAGTGGCCTCCCCAGTGGCCTCTCCTCCTCGCGGTGGTTGTGGAGGCTAACGCCAGCTCGTGCGCGGTCCCTGCTAGGTGGGACCAGAGGCGGACACGAGCGGACGACATCGGTCGAGCAGAGCGTCCGCTTCGGACCCATTTGTTTCCAGATTTGGACCAAGTTTGGGTCGGGGAGGACAATAAACGGATAGTAGACGGACACGCGCGTCCATTTCGCCCTGTTGGGCCAAGTTTTGTGTCCAGATGATCCAAACGGACAAAATTGGTCTCTGCATTGGAGTTGCTCTTAGGGACGCACACATGCACATCTTACCCGTATGAGCCTCTCTGAAAGACCGAGTCAATAGATTTGGAGAGTGACAAAGTCGTCACAGGCATATATTAATCGACGCGCATGTCATACCACTAAAAGAATAGGCATGAAAGTCTAAAATAAGTCCGGAAAATATACAAGCACCCGTGCCAAGTCTAGGGTTGTTTCCACCACAAGGTACATAAACATTTAAGCATGCTTAGTTCACTCAGTGTTGTTTTTAACGCAATAGTGTGATCAGAGGGTTTCACATTTATTGGGTGTTTTTTTAACATTAGTACAAACACAAGCCCTCATATATACACGCATACACTCACCTTTATGAATGCACACATGCACACCCTATCCCTATGAGCACCTCCGAAAGACTAAGCCGGCATATCATCTTGAATTTTTACTAAGTGACCGTAGGTGCCTCGTAGTCGACGGAAACATCTCCTTTCACTGAATGTATATCACCGAAAATCCTGAAATAAATTCAGGATAAATGCGAGCATCAGAATTTGAACCCTGGTGGATAGGGGATATCACTGTCCGCCTAACCATCCAATCACAGATTGCTTTGCATTCAGTGGCTATAGTAAAGAAGGCAAAATCCCGGAGTCCATATGAAAATGAATTTTCTAGAGCCACGTAAAATAGTCTCATGTCTACAGGAAATAAAAAGTAAGAATTGAACCTATAAATAAATATTCAATACAATTTCTTTTTTTGCCGGGGAATACGGTACACAACTACAAGGTGTGCGATATTCGGCTTAAGCTTGTTGTCTTTGTTGACAGTCACTGGTATTTTCCCGCAAAAAAAAGACAGTCACTGGTATAAGATTTTTATACAGTGGCTATGGGAGAAAAGGAAATTATAAAGCTATGCGAAATACCCTATATTTGTAGTATATATTGCTCGCTTGTTTGTTTTTGTCATAAACTTCAGCCACTTTCCTAATCATTTGGAGATAAAACAGATTTATGTTTGAATCAATCCGTACAAGATTAAATGAATGTAAAATTATAACCTAGACTACAAAATGCAGTAAAGTTAAGCTGAAATCAACACTTAAATTATATTGCAAGTTAAGATCTGGTATTGTGTAAATTCAGGTGACTAAGGCATAAAACTATTTTAGGTGGGCAACCGAAAATGAAGAACAGAAGTAATTACATATGTGTTAGAGGTTGCAAACGTCCAAGAAATTTGGAATAACATAATTTGGGCGTGGAAGCCATGAAACACGTCAAGTAGGTAGGGTGCTCAACTTTTGTCACTCCCGCATAACGTGGGAACCTGTAAACAAACATCCCCAACTAACAAAGAGCAGGGGACTAAAATATGCAGTTGTTGAGCACGACTGTGCAGTGTGCACATGGCCATGGTGCTAAGCATTTTCCTTTCTGCGAGCAAACAAGGAAGCTGCAGCAATGCAGGCATAATAATGGAGAGTTGTTGAAGCTCGATAGCTAGCTAGCTGCAAGCTGGGGGTCAAAGGAGTTGCCGCGTCCGGCCACCAACCCCTTCCCAGTTCACCCCGCCGCGGGCGGCCGTCAACCATGTCAGGCATGACGACGTACGGCCTGCAGCTCCATCTATATAAGCAGCAGCTCGCCAGCTAGCTAGCTCCACAATCGTCCCAGATCTCAAGCTCTCAACTCACCTCACCTCGCATCTCAAACAGTCTTCTCTTTTCGGTTGGCATAATTGCTAGAAGCAGGGTTCTATCCATGGCAATGGTGGTGAAGGCCCTCCTCGTTGCCGTCGTGGCCGTGGCAGCGCTTGCGCAGCTCACCGTGGCAGTGGATCACCAGGTGGGCGGCAGCGGCGCGACCTGGGCCACCAGCGGCGGCTACGACTCGTGGTCGGGGAAGCAGAAGTTCTCTCCGGGAGACAGCCTCGGTACGTATTTAAGCTCACCCCCCTACTCGACCTAGCTCTTGACGGCTAGGATTATATCAAGAACCGACCTGACAAACTTGTTGTGGTCCATGGTTGCAGTATTTTCGTACTCGCCGGCGCACGACGTCGTGGAGGTGAGCAAGGCCGACTACGACGCCTGCACGGCCAGCAAAGTCGTCGCCAGATACACCGGCGGCAAGACCACCGTCAAGCTCACCACTGCCGGAAAGCGCTACTTCATCTGCAGCATCACCGGCCACTGCGACGCCGGCATGAAGCTCCAGGTGAACGTCGCCGCCGCGACCGCCGCCCCCACCAAGCCCAGGGGCCAGAGGAGCGTCGCCCCTGTCGCCGCCCCGGCGCCGGCACCGGAGGGGTCGGCCACCGACGAGCAGCTGCCGACAGTGTCGTCGCCTACGGGAACACCGACGCCCAGTTCACCGTCCGGCTCGGGCGCCGCTAGCATCGGTGCGAGCGCTGCGGTGGCGCTCGCCATGGGCATGGCCGTGGCGTTGGCCATTTGAGAGGGATCTGGCCGATCCATGTGTACCAAGGCTTAGTTTTGGAGTGCTCAAGTCTTAATCACGTCGATACATTTGCGGATTTGTTCTTGTTATTCTTGGCTGGCAGTGGCATGCACATTGCCTTCCCTGCATGTTCCTTCCTTCCTACTAGTACAGTGCTATCAGGGTTCAGTGTACTACTGTGCGATTTATTTGTTGTATTTGTCTGTCGGAGAATAAATACAATTCACATTCTTTAGTATCGTCTGTCTGCGTTATATATCTTGTAGTATATCTTCAGTATATTTGTGACAATCCATATATCTTCAGTGTCCTGTTGGTTGGCTTCGTTGGTTGGACTAGTAACGTGTCTCTGTTCAGCAGATACAACAACAGAAACCAGAGCAGAATGCTTCTTTCTTTTGTGCTTTTTTTTGGTGCAACCGGCAGGAACATTGCATATTCGTTAAGTGAGAAGCAGAGAGAGAAGAAATATATGTACAAAGAGTTGATGCGTATTTTAGGGGAACACACCTAAACCCCGCTAAAAACAAGTACAATAGCGGGCTATGACATTTTTGACCATGTGAAAGAGAGAGACAAAGAAAAAGTAAAAAGTGCGTTCTCATGCAAGAGCGAGTCTCTACACGTGCTTCTAGGTAAAAACGTTTAATAAAAAGAAAAGGTTAGAGAAAAAGTGGAAAAAAGTTGTGACTTACACCCAACCTTATAGGCAACTCTATTGTATGAGTAACTAATAATGCTAACTCTTGATAACATGTCATGTCTACATAGCCAGCAACTAGCTATATTATTAACCATGCTCTAGAGAACAGAAGTATTACTGAGGTGTTGCCGCAACGGCCAGGTCTGGGGCACTTTGAAAGTCTGCTCCCACTGTTTGATGTCCTCAATGTTGTGATTAATTAGCACGTATAATTAGAGGGAAATCTACCCTTGCCCAAACCTTCATGTGGCTGCCTTGCGCAACCGACGCATCTCTTTCTAGTGTAGCGTCCGTTCGGATCATACATATTGTTTCTGTAACTATGAATCAATAGAAGTTTCCATTTACTTTAAACACTCGAAAGCCAAGGGGGCACCTCAATATATGTAAGACGTGAGCCGATGAAAATCTTTCCGCTCCTCTCTTTGGAGGTGTTCCATGCGGCATACAGCAGCAGCTCGCTCCTTTGGTGAATGGAGTTGTTTGATGCCCCTCTTAGTGAAGGAAATATGCCCTAGAGAAAATAATAAAGTTATTATTTATTTCTTTAGATCATGATAAATGTTTATTATTCATGCTAGAATTGTATTAACCGGAAACTTAATATATGTATGAATACATAGACAAACAGAGTGTCACTAGTATGCCTCTACTTGACTAGCTCGTTGATCAAAGATGGTTATGTTTCCTAACCATAGACATGAGTTGTCATTTGATTAACGGAATCACATCATTAGGAGAATGATGTGATTGACTTGACCCATTCCGTTAGCTTAGCACTTGATCGTTTAGTTCGTTGCTATTGCTTTCTTCATGACTTATACATGTTCCTATGACTATGAAATTATGCAACTCCCGTTTACCGGAGGAACACTTTGTGTGCTACCAAACGTCACAGCGTAACTGGGTGATTATAAAGGTCCTCTACAGGTGTCTCCGAAGGTATCTGTTGAGTTGGCGTATTTCGAGATTAGGATTTATCACTCCGATTGTCGGGGAGGTATCTCTGGGCCCTCTCGGTAATGCACATCACCTAAGCCTTGAAAGCATTGCAACTAATGAGTTAGTTGCAAGATGATGTATTACGGAACGAGTAAAGAGACTGTTGGAAATATGCCCTAGAGGCAATAATAAATTAGTTATTATTATATTTTCTTGTTCATGATAATCGTTTATTATCCATGCTAGAATTGTATTGATAGGGAACTCAGATACATGTGTGGATACATAGACAACACCATGTCCCTAGTAAGCCTCTAGTTGACTAGCTCGTTGATCAATAGATGGTTACGGTTTCCTGACCATGGACATTGGATGTCATTGATAACGGGATCACATCATTAGGAGAATGATGTGATGGACAAAGACCCGGTCCTAAGCCTAGCACAAGATCATGTAGTTCGTATGCTAAAGCTTTTCTAATGTCAAGTATCATTTCCTTAGACCATGAGATTGTGCAACTCCCGGATACCGTAGGAGTGCTTTGGGTGTGCCAAACGTCACAATGTAACTGGGTGGCTATAAAGGTACACTACAGGTATCTCCGAAAGTGTCTGTTGGGTTGGCACGAATCGAGACTGGGATTTGTCACTCCGTGTAAACAGAGAGGTATCTCTGGGCCCACTCGGTAGGACATCATCATAATGTGCACAATGTGATCAAGGAGTTGATCACGGAATGATGTATTACGAAACGAGTAAAGAGACTTGCCGGTAACGAGATTGAACAAGGTATCGGGATATCGACGATCGAATCTCGAGCAAGTATCGTACCGTTAGACAAAGGGAATTGTATACGGGATTGATTAAGTCCTTGACATCGTGGTTCATCCGATGAGATCATCGTGGAACATGTGGGAGCCAACATGGGTATCCAGATCCCGCTGTTGGTTATTGACCGGAGAGTCATCTCGGTCATGTCTGCATGTCTCCCGAACCCGTAGGGTCTACACACTTAAGGTTCGGTGACACTAGGGTTATAGAGATATTAGTATGTGGTAACCCGAAAGTTGTTCGGAGTCCCGGATGAGATCCCGTACGTCACGAGGAGTTCCGGAATGGTCCGGAGGTAAAGAATTATATATAGAAAGTGCTATTTCGGCCATCGGGACAAGTTTCGGGGTCACCGGTATTGTACCGGGACCACCGGAAGGGTCCCGGGGGTCCATCGGGTGGGGCCACCTGCCCCGGGGGGGGGCACATGGGCTGTAGGGGTGTGCGCCTTGGCCTATATGGGCCAAGGGCACCAGCCCCAAGAGGCCCATGCGCCAAGAGATGAGGGAAAGGAAGAGTCCTAAAAGGGGAAGGCACCTCCTAGGTGCCTTGGGGAGGAGGGACTCCTCCCTGGCCGCACCCTTCCTTGGAGGAAGGGCCAAGGCTGCACCTCCCCCCTCTCCCTTGGCCCTATATATAGTGGGGGGAAGGGAGGGCAACCATACCTAAGCCCTGGCGCCTCCCTCTCCCTCCCATGACACATCTCCCTCCTCCCGCAGCGCTTGGCGAAGCCCTGTTGGAATCCCGCTACTTCCACCACCACGCCGTCGTGCTGCTGGATCTCCATCAACCTCTCCTTCCCCCTTGCTGGATCAAGAAGGAGGAGACGTCGCTGCTCCGTACGTGTGTTGAACGCGGAGGTGCCGTCCGTTCGGCGCTAGGATCATCGGTGATTTGGATCACGACGAGTACGACTCCATCAACCCCGTTCTCTTGAACGCTTCTGTGCGCGATCTACAAGGGTATGTAGATCCACTCCTCTCTCGTTGCTAGATGATTCCATAGATTGATCTTGGTGACACGTAGGAAAATTTTGAATTATTGCTACGTTCCCCAATAGTGGCTCATGAGCTAGGCTTATGCGTAGTTTCTATGCACGAGTAGAACACAAAGTAGTTGTGGGCGTTGATTTTGTTCAATATGCTTACCGTTACTAGTCCAATCTTGATTCGGTGGCATTGTGGGATGAAGCGGCCCGGACCGACCTTACACGTACTCTTATGTGAGACTGGTTCCACCGACTGACATGCACTAGTTGCATAAGGTGGCTAGCGGGTGTCTGTCTCTCCCACTTTAGTCGGATCGGATTCGATGAAAAGGGTCCTTATGAAGGGTAAATAGCAATTGGCATATTACGTTGTGGTTTTTGCGTAGGTAAGAAACGGTCTTGCTAGAAACCCATAGCAGCCATGTAAAACATGCAAACAACAATTAGAGGACGTCTAACTTGTTTTTGCAGGGTATGCTATGTGATGTGATATGGCCAAAAGGATGTGATGAATGATATATGTGATGTATGAGATTGATCATGTTCTTGTAATAGGAATCATGACTTGCATGTCGATGAGTATGACAACCGGCAGGAGCCATAGGAGTTGTCTTAATTTATTTATGACCTGCGTGTCAACATAAACGTCATGTAATTACTTTACTTTATTGCTAACCGTTAGCTGTAGTAGTAGAAGTAATAGTTGACGAGACAACTTCATGAAGACACGATGATGTAGATCGTGGTGTCATGCCGGTGACGATGATGATCATGGAGCCCCGAAGATGGAGATCAAGAGGAGCAAAGTGATGATGGCCATATCATGTCACTATTTGATTGCATGTGATGTTTATCATGTTTATGCATCTTGTTTACTTAGAACGATGGTAGTAAATAAGATGATCCCTCATAATAATTTCAAGAAAATATTCCCCCTAACTGTGCACCGTTGCGACAGTTCGTTGTTTCGAAGCACCACGTGATGATCGGGTGTTAGATTCTAACATTCACATACAACGGGTGTAAGACAGATTTACACACGCGAAACACTTAGGGTGACTTGACGAGCCTAGCATGTACAGACATGGCCTCGGAACACAAGAGACCGAAAGGTCGAGCATGAGTCATATGGTAGATACGATCAACATGAAGATGTTCACCGATGATGACTAGTCCGTCTCACGTGATGATCGGACACGGCCTAGTTGACTCGGATCATGTAATCACTTAGATGACTAGAGGGATGTCTATCTGAGTGGGAGTTCACAAGATGAACTTAATTATCCTGAACATAGTCAAAAGGTCTTCGCAAATTATGTCATAGCTCGCGCTTCAGTTCTACTGTTTAGATATGTTCCTAGAGAAAATTTAGTTGAAAATTGATAGTAGTAATTATGCGGACTAGGTCTGTAAACTGAGGTTTGTCCTCATTGCTTCATAGAAGGCTTATGTCCTTAATGCACCGCTCAGTGTGCTGAACCTCGAACGTTGTCTATGGATGTTGCGAACATCTGACATACACATTTTGATAACT